AGCATAACAATAAACGATAAGCTAAGTGAGCCAAACATTTTATTACCTATTATTATTGTTACTGAATAAGTCATTGAAATAGAATACTCATACATTAAACCAAATGTATGAGCATTCTTTTAAAGAGAGGAGGTGTAGCATGACAGCTAAGCAAAACAAAATGTTCACACAATATTAAGTAAAAAGTTCAATATANTGTAAGCTTGTAAATTAGATTACTCATAAGGTAGATTGTAAGCATATAAAAGAACGGCGATGAGCCGAATAAAACATTCCCACTTTAAGACTCAACGTTTTAACTTGCGTTTTACTTTTGGAATCATTGTGGGGCATTTTAATGCTCACCTAAATGCGGCTGTAGAGCTAAGACAATACTAAACACCTTCCAATGTTTACAGAGTCCACTGGTCAGCGGTATTTCGTTTATTGGCTCTACTAATATAGGCAAACACCTCTTTCGTCAGGCGGCCGGCGCGTTGAAACGTGTCTTGTTGGAGCTTGGCGGCAATGCACCATTCATAGTCTTTGAATCAGGTGATATAGCTGAAGCGGTTGAGGGCGCAATTATTTCCAAGTTTCGAAACTCCGGCCAGACGTGTGTCTCTTCGAATCGGTTCTACATGCAAGCCTGCCTCTATGACACGTTCGTGGCACAACTGAAAGCCGAAGTGGAGGCGCTCAAAATCGGTGCCGGCCACGAAGAGGGTATGCGAATTGGTCCGCTAATCAATGCGGCGCAGCTTAAGCGAGTTGAGGCGTTTATGAAGGATGCACGCCAGCGAAATGCGAAGGTTTTGTGCGATGGCAAACGTTTGAAAGATAAGGGCCCACTTTTCAATGCACCTGACATCATTACCGATTACTATAATTATGCTGGCAAAGTTCGAGACGGAGGACGATGTTGTGTGTCGGGTAAATAAAACGCTGCATGGCTTGGCGGCCTACTTTTACAGCCAGAACGTACAGCAAGTATTTAGGGTTGCGCGACGACTCGAAGTCGGCATGGTAGGTGTGAATGTAGGGCTGATGTCGCAAGCGGAAGCGCCATTCGGGGGCATTAAGGAGTCGAGTATTGGACGTGATGGTAGTCACCATGACATCGATGAGTTCACGGAGTGGGAATATATTTGCTTGGGTGGATTGAAGTACAACGAGCACGACTGAGCGAATGTTGGGAAAAAGCGATTCATTTTGAAAAAAAAATATATATATGGAAGACAAAAAATATTCCACGGCACCATTTCGCCCAGATACAAGTTAAGCTACT